TATATATATATATATATATAAATAAATATATATATATACACATATATATATACATATATATATACATATATATATATATATATATATATATATATATATATATATATATATATATATATATATATATATATATATATATATATATATATATATATATATATATATAAATAAATATATATATATACACATATATATATACATATATATATACATATATATATATATATATATATATATATATATATATATATATATATATATATATATATATATATACACATGCACACACACACACGCGCGCACAGATACACATATTTCTTGTCTTGCTAGAGTCACACCACACATCCATCTTCTCTTTCGGGAGAATTAAGACTTTAAAGTTTATAAATAACTAAAACTTAATAAAATTTGTATTAAGTTATTGTAATCCATTATTTTTATTATTATTAAAGTCAAAAAGAATATGAAGAAAAACAAAACTTTTTGAAAAAAGTTTTTGTTTTGTTTTTTCATTTTTCTAATGTAAATAAAATAGCAAGCTAAGGGTCAAAAGTTCATTCATTAAAAAATCATATTTGTGCAATTACTATATTGTTATTAAGACTGATATTTTTAGTTCATTTATTCTTAAATTAATAATTCCTAATTGTTAACAAGCAAAAGTTAACATTACTCGGAATGAATATTTTAAAATCTTTCAAAAAAAATTTTTTATTGTACATTCAATTGTTTTTAAATTGAGTTTCATAAAAAGTTTAGCAGTTAAATATACTAAAGTACTTGTAATTAAAAAACACTAAATTAATTGCGGCATGTAATTACTTTTAATTCATTTTATTGTCCTGAAGAAAAAATGAACTCTTTAAAATAAACAGAAAGTTAGTTATTTACTATTGCATTTGGAACAAAAACTTGTTTTCCTATTTTTATGTAAAAAGCAAAAGAAAAATAACAAATAATAAACTTTTTTTGTCCATACTGCTCCAGCGGTACCAAAACAGATCTATATATAATATAATATATAAATATTGTATATAATATATAAATAGTATAATGTATAAATATTGTATATAACTATACAAATAAAGGTCAGTATATAAACTTTAATTCATTTTTTTAAATATAATGTTTGGTTGAAATGACAGTTTTAAACATTAAATGGCACTTAATAGAATAATAGAGACAATTAAGAGGTAATTGATTAATATTACAATAAAATAACAACTAAAAAGGTTAACAAATGTCATAAAAGTACAGAAAAAGGCGATAAAAGGGATACTAGGGATTAAGAAACTAGGTTGAATTTTTTTTTTACACGGTAAACTTATTTAGTAATACTTTTTTTTAAAATCTATTTACATACCTTCTCCTTGTTTTCTCTTTCATCATTGTGTTTTTTGTTTGTTTTTTTTTTTAATTTTTTTTTCTTGGGATTTTTTGACTCTATATACATACTTTCTTTTTTAGAGTTTTAATACAAATTTGTTGGCAGAATCAGAAATCAAAATAAATAGTTTAAAAAAACCAATACAATTAAATTTATCAAAACAACTTTCATTTGATTTGCAAATGTGCGTAGATGTGTGAGATTTTAGATCTCTTATAGTGTTCTATTATTAGTGTCTTAAGATGACAACTAGTTTCCCCGATATTTTTACATTCTGCATATTCAAATTATTGTAGATAAAAGATTTAAAATCATTCAGAGAAAATTTTTTTGAAATTTTCAGTGAAGTGCAGACCAATTTTAATGCGTTTAACTTGACAGTGAAGTGCAGACCAATTTTAATGCGTTTAACTTGACAGTGAAGTGCAGACCAATTTTAATGCATTTAACTTGATTAATTGTTCAATTTTTTTTTTGTTACTTTTGTTTTTTTTGGTACTGATACTTTTGATTGATACTGAATCTGATACTTTTTCAATAAAAAGAAGTTTGAATTAATGAGAATCTTAACAATAAAATAGGTTTTTCAATCCCAGTGAAATGTTGTTAATGTTGTTAAGATAAAAACAATAGATTTTCTTAATCAACTTAAATAAATGGGTAAAAGTTGCACTTTAAAAAGATTGTTAATATAATAACTAAGACCAGAAATGTCGTTTATTTTATTTTTCAAGTTCTATCAAGTAAATATTTTACTAGATTTTGTATAAAAACAAAGTCTAAACAAAACTGATAAAGTTTGTGTAAAGTCCCAAGAAGGTTTTCTTTTGAAAAACTTTGGTAGTTGTTAAAAAAACATGTGGTTTGTTTTACTTAGAGTTCAAAACAGAAATTTTCGATTTATCTTTTTTTTTTTTTTTCTATGATAAAAGAAATCAAACTATGTTTATAATTGATATAGTCTAAAAATAAATAAGTTTTCTAAAAGAAAAGCAGCAAAAATGTTACCTACAAAACATTCTTAGCAAAAAGTTTGTTTCCATTTTTTTATTATACAATTTTATTTATTTATTCTCAAAAATTCCTATGCAAAGATTAGCAATGTGGTAAAAAAGAGAACCTATAGCAATACAATTTGGTCTTAATTTTTCCCGTAGAAAAGAAAACAAGTTTGAGATGATCCAAAATTAAAAAGTATTTAAAAATCATTTTTACTTATTTTAATTGGCTAACATGCTGACATTTCTTCTTAATTTTAAGTGTAAAATGTATAATTAAGCTAAAAAAGTTGGTTATTGCAGTAAAAAATTCAGGACAAAAAAAATTAAAGACTTTAAAATAACAGATTAAATTGCAACACCTAATATTTTAGATAACAGCTTATAGGATATAGGGTATAGAAGTTGTACAAACTATTGAAGCTGCTAGCCAAGTAAAGTTTCACAGAAGCAAAAAAAAATCAGTTTGGAAAGCAATTGGAAAAACTTAACTATCAGCAGGTTGTTGAAGAAATATATACACTATTAAAATACTGTCTGTTGAACACTTAAAATTGTCTGTTAAACAGGTAAAACTGTCTGTTGGATCAAGAAGAAAGTCTAAAACTTTTTAAAAAAATTGCTACATTCTTAATGCTGTCAAAAAAGATAAAACTAGATAATAAACCTTACAAATATCTTGTCCAATAATAGTATCTGGTGAATTTTTTGCTGGAAAGCAAATAAAAAGCTTTTTGGATTACAATACAGTTTTTTCTTTACTGTCAGGGATTTAGCACAAACATTGGACATGCAAACAATTGTCCAAATTTATTTAAAGCAGCAAGTCTCTGTTTGTATTGCTTATATTGTTTGATCTCACTTTTGGAAATTCAGCCCCTAAATACGCAAGGCAATCTTTAAACATGACAAAAATAATAATTTTTGGTGTTGTTTTAGTGCAACTCTGAAAATTTTACAGGGTTAATGACACTATGAATAATATTTACAAAATCTTAGTTAACCCACTTTGACCAAGTATAAAAGAGTTTATTGCCAACGGTGACTACATCTTTCAAAAATCTAAATTGATACAGCTATAAAAATCATGACCTGTTTCAAATTCTTCTTCTTCATCTTTTTTTTTTTTTTCTTCAATTTTAATTCACTCCAAACAAGGCTGCAAATAACTACTATTAAGTTGGGAGTTACTAGAATACAAAGACATAAAGAAGTGAAGACTTGAAAAGTTGTAGGTTGTATGTATAAAAAAACATAAAGATTCAAAAGTTCAAGTTTTTTTTCCTCACTTCAAACTTCTGTTCCAAAGAATTGGAGTTCAAGGTAAAAAATTAGATACAGTATGTGAAGGATGCGGCATTGCTGAATGTGAGAATGAAGAAGCAAGAACAAGTTTTGGTCAATGGAACTAGAGATGATAGCTCAAGTTTTGGTCAATGGAACTAGAGAGACGCTCTATCATGGCAGATAAAGCAGGTCTAACTATGTTTACAATGCATTTTACAAGAGCAACCTTATGCTTAATGCTAACTTCGCAATTGTTCCATAAAAGGTCAGCAGGTGAGAGGTTTGCCATACATTAATATAGAAATGTAGACAGTATTGATGTTTACAGTAAATAACTGAGTTTTTACTGGAGTTAAAATTTACAAGCCACTGCAAGCCTCAATCTGTTAGACAAATGAGATCAGATTCAAGATAGGATCTGTTTTAAGCTATCAAAAAGTGAAGACTTTTTGTTAAGACAGAAGTATAAAATTGAGTCATAAGCAAATTTAGATGCAAGGTTGTTAGGAAGATCATTAATATAGATATAAAGTTGTCAGGAAGATCATTAATATAGAAACAAAATAATACCAAGGATATGATTGGAAAGCTTTGCCAAATATTAAAAATGTTTCTAGATAGTATGCCTTTGAGATGCACAGAAATCATGAAAAACAAAGAATGGCCGAATGAGTGCAATACAAATGAAACTTGGACAATACTTTATAATCCTAATTTTTTTTTATTAAATGTAATATACAATAATATTTTTATCAAATATGATTTTTTTTCTTATATTACGTGAGGAAAATACATTTTATGTTGCTTTTTTTTTATAAAAAATTGAGTGCGGCTTTTTTTTCACCCCACATATATGTGGGGTGAAAAAAAATTATATTAGAGAATTATTAAAGAATTGAGTATATTAGGGTAAAAAAATTTTAAAAAAATTATTAAAGAATTGAGTATATTAGGGTACTAGGGAACACATATATGTGTTCCCTAGTACCCTAATATACTCAATTCTTTAAATTTTTTTAAATATATATATATATATATATATATATATATATATATATATATATATATATATATATATATATATATATATATATATATATATATATTTATATATATATATATATATATATATTTATATATATATATATATATATATATATTTATATATATATATATATATATATATATATATATTTATATATATATATATATATATATATATATATATATATATATATATATATATATATATATATATATATATATATATATACTTGCTAACTATATTATAATAATTTTTTCTAATATTTTTATTTTTCTCTCTTTAGATTCTTGCAATGCTGGGGGAACAATTTATGGTTGGACAAGAAATATGTGGTGCAGTTGTTTCAATCCGATATCAGGTTTTTAACTTTTGTTAACATGCAAAATTTAAATTTAAAAAAAGAAAAATACAAAGTTGCTGAAAAAAAAATTTACTTTTCTTTATTTAACAGGAAGACATTATTTCTATCTGGAATCGAAATGCTAGTGACCAGGCAACAACTTCAAGAATAAGGTATTTACTTTATTTTATCATTCAAATTTTAAAAAAAATCTATTTTAAACAAAAAATAATTTTGTTACTGTAAAATGTACTTTTATCAACATCAGTTTATTTTTTATCAATTTTAAACGAATTCACATTCAACAAAGCTGCAAGCTTATTGAAATATATTTTTATGGTTTTTTATTATATCATTTATGGCTTATTAAATTATGAGTTAACAGAAAACAAAAAGAGAGCTAAATAGAAAGAAAGCGACCAATAGAAAAATAGACCAAACCTAGAAAGTGACCAATAGAAAAATAGACCAAATCTAGAAAGCGACCAATAGAAAAATAGACCAAACCTAGAAAGCGACCAATAGAAAAATAGACCAAACCTAGAAAGCGACCAATAGAAAAATAGACCAAACCTAGAAAGCGACCAATAGAAAAATAGATCAAAGACTTAAAAAACTGTAAATTGTATGTGTCGGGAAATCATGAAAACAGAAGAGAATTATAAAACTTTTATGCATGAATAATTAGTTAGAGTGACATGGCTGAATGATCATGTGAGATTGATTTTAATGATGATTGTTCACTTGAGCAGCAATCAAGGCAGTATTTGTAGAAAAGAAAAAAAGAGATGCAACCTTCAAATATCAACCTTACAACTATTAGAAAGCTTATTAGGTTAACCAGCTCCAGCAACATTTGTAATACATTTTTGGACCTTGTCTAAAAGAGAATAAATCAATCCAAATTTAACAACAGTATTCCATATACAGAAAAATAAGGATTTATAGAGGTAGAGAATGGAATGGAATCAGAGACAGCATTAAAAATTTAAACATTTAAAGAGATATGCCATTGAATCACTTAAACTTTTACAAAAGAGAGGTCAGATTCACTATTGTGTGCATATTTTAAGCAATTAAAAAAAGGTGACTTTTTTGTCAGGCTGAATTATATAGTTACATCATCAGTAAATTGAGCACTTTACATGTAAAATTGTCAGGAAGTGTAACCCTGTATATAAAAGAAATTGTTGTCCATTAAGGACAACTTTAATGCTGTAAAAAAATTTTTTCCCATGAACATTGTATGAAACAAGCTTATGAAGAAGACTAGCATGTATTTATTGAAACCCTTTAATAAATCAAGAGCAAGTTGAGCTTGACTTGTTGTTGAGCCCTTAACAACAAGTCAGCAGTTAACAACAAGAGAATTGAAATCCATTTAGAGAGTTGTTAGATTCAAGATGTTTCTTAATTTCCAGAAAATGATCAAAGGTTTCAGAGAATGATTTACAGAGTTTTTATAAACTGGAGCCAGAATGTAAGCGAAATTCAGTTTGGCACTTGTTAAATATGTTTAAGAATAATATTAAATATTTAAAATAGTTCTGGAGAACACTTTTGTAAAAGTGAGACAGAAATGTTGTCCAGAACACAAGCTGTTAAGGCTCCAAATTTTAATCAAGAAGATTAAAATTTGGAGCCTTAACAGAACAACGCTGATGAAAGATTTATTGGCTTTATAACTGATAGCAACACTTTATAACTGATAGCAACACTTTATAACTGATAGCAACACTTTATAACTGATAGCAACACTTTATAACTGATAGTAACACTTTATAACTGATAGCAACACTTTATAACTGATAGTAACACTTTATAACTGATAGCAACACTTTATAACTGATAGCAACACTTTATAACTGATAGCAACACTTTATAACTGATAGTAACGATGGAAAATAACTTGTAGTAATAACAAAGGTAGAAATGATTTTGATGTCTAATAGTGGATTAACCTGTTTTGTTGGGATGACAGGAAGATTCTACTGTCCGGAAGATTCTCATTCAAGAGATGAGTAAGAGGAAATGCTCTTTAAAATAGTCTTATTCTTTAGAGAGGTGCTAAGGTCTATTATTCAGAATACTAATTTTCCTAATGTCCATTCTCATTATCAAGATCATGAGAAGGTGTATGTACGAGAGGTGAAATCTTTTGTGTCTTTGTTAATGACATTAATATTTAACTTATAAATTTAGTTAATTAGATTAATTAATTAATTTTATATTAATCATTTATTAATGTTAAAAATTTAGTAAAAGGCTAGAGAACCTAGCTTCTTAGATAAATATAAATGTGAAAATTAGTATTCTGAATAATAGACCTTAGCACCAAACAATGTCTTTTTGCATTAATTTTTTTGTGGAAAAATGATTAAACTTAAAAATAGAAATATCTGCACAAGAAGGAGAAAATCTAGCAGTTAGATCAAGACTTGACTTAAATCTAATAAAAAGAAATAAATGCATGCCTGCTGAATCCAATCAATTACTAAGGAGGTGCAACTTTTGACAGTTATATTTTCTTTATAATCAACATGATCTGAGTGAGATCATAACATGATCTGAACCACCTAAAGGAGAACAAGAAGAAACTGAGCACAAGGTCAGAAACAAAAAATTCCAGGAGTTAAGATAAGTGATTAGGATTGTCTGAGAAAAAACTGTCTGTGTAAGAAATTGAAAAAGACAAAAATACTTAACTTTAGAGCCAACAGGGTCAGTGGTAGTCAGAACCAAGCCGTTCAGTGTGACGAGAGTTATCAATAACAACAATATTGATTGTTGAACAAGGAGAATAAGCAATTTGATCACACACAATATTGAAAAGAATGCTTGAAAAAAAACTTGGATAGTAGGAGAGCTATAAAGAACAAAAAGAAGCGTGATTTTAAAGCTGTACTGTGAACAAAAGATAACAGAAAGAGTTGCCATTACTAAAGTGGTAACAAGTGGTAGCAAGTAAAGTGGTACAAGCAATAATTCATGATTAGGGTGAAGAAGATCAAACAGTTGTCATCTTTGGCAGGAAACAATGTAACAAAAAGAGTATATTAACTGTGAATTAAAATGTCCTCTAATTAAGAGCCCTTAATAAGAGGACATTTTAATTCACAGTTAATATACTCTTTGCCTTTAGTTAAGCAAGCCCTACAGGCTGTTGGACTTAAGGCAATTTAATCAATATTGACTTTATTAATTTATTAATTTTGAGAAGTTTAATATTTAGAGCAATATTTTTAATGAAGTTAAAAATTAAATGCAGATAAATTTGTATTTTTACCAGTTGAGAAAGGGTTGTAACCACTATTAAAGCAGCCTCCTCAGCTATAATGGCCTTCTTAGCCTAATGGAGGTGAATTAATAAAATTTTATAGTTTGGATATCAATTTACCTGTATGAATGCATGTTACAAATGGAAACCAACTGGAAACATCAATAGATTTCTCTGATAAGGCAATTGTTATCTAAGAGTATCTAGTACTAAAAGACTGTAAAGAAATTTTGATGATTGAAATCTTATTGGGACTAATAAATATTACCAGTTAAATATGTAACAAATGTAATATTACATAATAAATTTAAAATGTTTAAAATTTTTTTACAAAATGGTATGTATAACATAACAAAATACAACAGTCACAATAAAACTTATATGGGAAAGAAACTAATACAGAAAAATTTATCATACAAGAAATCTTTTTTGTTTTTTTATTTTTAATATGTTGGGTTGTCTGGTCCGTTTATGTTATTTGCAGATTTTTTTTGTTAACTTATTCACTTGACCAAAATTTTAATTTACTTTTAAAAATTTTTTGAAAATTTCAGGGACACTTTGCGTAGAGTATTAAACTTACCACAGAATACCATAATGGAATATAAAGCTCATATGGCTAGTTTAACGTAAGTTACATTGATTTTTAACATAATTTGTTAAAAGTTTAATTGCATACAATAAAAAAATATTATCAAAAAGTGTATCACAGTTTGACCATTAATTAATTTGTGATACACACATCAAATCAGTTGACTGTGCATCAAACTGCTAGGAGGAGTCAAACTGTGTGTATGCTATTAGTCAAACTGTGTGTGTACATCAAACTGTGTGTATGCTAGAAGTCAAACTGTGTGTATGCTAGGAGTCAAATTGTGTGTATGCTAGGAGTCAAACTATATCAAACTGTGTAATGAAAGCCTACACATTAATGAAGTTTTTGTTCAAAAATTTGATCATTAAAAAATGTCTTTTTCAAAAAATCTTAAAGTATGTCAGTCATAAAAATGAATGTGCATCATGTAAGAAATTAATGTTTAACAGAATGTACAAGCAAAAACATCATTAAAGTCAAATGAGACATGCTTTATTAGATTTTGCCAATATAATGTTTTGCCTTTGTGGTTAAATTAATATTACCACATCAAAATATAATTTAATTATTGATTTGAATTAGATTTTGATTTAGTATTATTTAATGTCTTTTATAGCTGAAATTATTATATTTAATATGTGTTTTGAGGGCAATTATTTTTACAAATTATACAACTACATCTACAAATTTTACAAATATTTATACTTGTTTTAATGTTCCATGTGCATTTTTGTTTACTTTTAAAAAAAGGGCTACAATCATATTTTTTTCAATACCATGTCAAATTACTTGTGATAAGACTAAATTACAAATGATTTTTGGTATACTGTTGCAAATTGGCTAATTAATTGATTTTTGGTGTACTGTTGTAAATTTGCTGATTGTTAATTTATTTTTAGTAAACTGTTGTAAATTGGCAAAAATAAATTTAAAAACTAAAAATAAGTAGTCAAAAAGAAAAAATTCATTAAAACAGGAAGTAAAAATGTTTAAAACCAAAAGTAAAAACTTCTATGCTAATAAAATAATAAAACTAATATGCGGTAGTGGTGTAGTGGTAGAGCGCTCGCTTCATAAACGAGTGGTTCGGAGTTCGATCCCCACCACGTCCCTGGTAGTACCGCGCTCAACTCGTTTCTCCGCGCAGCGGCCTTGTTTGTCAAGGTTCGTGTTTCGGAGTTATAGAGTTGAAAGAGGGTTATAGCCACAAAATAAGTAGCCTCCTCGTCTGTAGTGGCCTTCTCGGCCTTAAGGAGGTGAAGTAAAATTTAAAAAAAAAAAAAAAAAATTCTTCGATTCATGGGTTGAACTTTGTGGTAATTTAATGGCTGGTTAGTTCAGTTGGTTAGACACTACCAATACAGCACATGAGTATTAGGTACGCAAAGTAGTTTTTATAACTAGGTTGATAATAAGTTTATTTGCTTATCATTGGACATTACTATTTAAAACAATAATAAAAGATTTTAAGTTAATATTGGAAATATTGTGACACAATAACAGTGTTTGGTTTACTAAAAAAAAATGGTTTTAAGTTATGATTATTTGTTGTATAAGTTATGATTATTTGTAGTGTAAGACTTTCATTACACCCTACGGGTATTTGTTTTTCAAAGTTATGTTCTGAATGTCTTTTAAACGTTTTTAAACATCTTTTAAGTGTTCTTTACCTTAGAATGTTTAGAAGACATTTAAAAGATATTTAAAATACATTTACAACATAACTTTTAAAAACAAATGCCCGCTGGGCAGCATTTTATTAATAAAATACATCAAGCTTGTTTACTTTTTATGTTCTTTCAAATAAAAGAAACTTTTATTAGTACCTGGTAACCTCTTTCAAATAATTTTTTTTTTTTTCTATTGTTTATATTTTTATAACTATTATTTTTATTTTTTTTATTCTATTTTTTATATCTAGTGATCATTCGAGTTATAGAAACACAAGCGTATTTGTGAAGTAAAAAATTGGAGTTGAAATTCAATTGATCTCTTTTGTAATGTCGATAAAGCTGCCAATATTGTGTTAATATGGTAATTTCTGATGCAAGCCAAATAAAAAGGAATGTTGTAAAATAAAATAGATAACCAAAAAGAATAAAAAAGGAGTAATAATAAAGAGTAATAATAAAGAAAAGATTTTTAAATAAATTTATTAGATTTTAATTAATAGTATTTAGATTGTCAGAAAAATTATTCTTTGATTGTTTATCAATGTTTATTTAAATTATTTTTTTATTTGCATTATTTTAATCATTTTTTATTAATTACTTTCTTAATAAAGATTTTCAAATAAGTGGGTTTGTATAAGTATGCATATTAAAATTCTATACTTATTCAAATATATGTGTGTGTGTGTATATATATATATATATATATATATATATATATATATATATATATATATATATATATATATATATATATATATATATATATATATTTATATGTTTATATATATATATATATATATATATATATATATATATATATATATATATATATATATATATATATATATATATAAATATATATATATATATATATATATAGACACACACACACACACACACACACACACACACACACACACACACACACACACACACACACATATTCGAATATGTCTGTTCTTTTAAGAACATTGAGCACTCTATTTTGTAGAATACATTTTTAAAATTGTTTAAACATATATTTACATATATGTATATGTATATATATATATATATATATATATATATATATATATATATATATATATATATATATATATATATATATATATATATACTCATATAGTGTCGCTTTAAGAGCATTTTAATGTAAAAAAAGACTCTTACGACTACAATTTTAATTACCTCGTCTCTTAAGCTGTTTTTGATTGTCATCGAAATGTCAAAGCAATTAATTTATGCGGAAGTACATTAAATTTAATTGTTTTTTAAAAAATTTTTAAAAAACCGCAATTATAACGACTAGAAAGTTTTTTTTAATTAGTGGTGTTTTTGTTATTGATTTAATAAAAAACATTTTTTAAACATGCGTAAATGTTGCTACATCGACTATCTTATAGCCTGACTCGCAACGGAGTGCTGCTACATCGACTGACAAATAGCCTGACTCGCAACGGAGTGCTGCTACATCGACTGACAAATAGCCTGACTCGCAACGGAGTGCTGCTACATCGACTGACAAATAGCCTGACTCGCAAGGGAATGCTGCTACATCGACTGACAAATAGCCTGACTCGCAAGGGAGTGCTGCTACAACGACTGACAAATAGCCTGACTCGCAAGAGAGTGCTGCTACATCGACTGAGGGTTTGGTTTGGCCAGGCAGTCTATCAATTAAAAAAAAAAATTTAATTTTTAAAACTTTTTCTGGTCTGGTTTATTAACGCGCTCTTTAAAACTACAGTTTATGGGAAATATTTTTTGATGCTACGCAAGAGACATGCAAGACTATATATATATACATATAAATATATATATATATATATATATATATATATATATATATATATATATATATATATATATATATATATATATATATATATATATATATAATATACATATATATATATATATATGTATATATATACATACATATATATATATATATATATATATATATATATATATATATATATTTCACCAAATTTTCAAACTTGTTAGTTTCATAAAATCAGCAAAATTTATTTAAATCCATAATTTAGCACTGATTTTGCTGACCTTGCAAAATAAGTGAAACCTTAAAAAAAAAACACAATTAACAATGCTCAAATTAAAAAGAAGTTTGTAATTTTAGCACAAAATGTATATAGATTTCAATATTCATTTAAATAATTTTTAATTTATTTAATATAAATTTATTTAAAATATAAGTATTATTAATATAAACATTTTTTATAGACAAATATCTGAAAAATTTTGAAAATAGTTCACAATTGATTTTAATGTTAGAAAGAAGATTAAAGGTTGTGTTGGTATCTATTGGCAAAACATAGTGAATTTCTCCAAGAAGTTTTACAACTCAAATATTTCTTCTGACTTCTTCATTATCTTTGTATATTAGCTATAAAATGTACAAAGTATGTGAGGATATTAGAAGCATAACCAGTAATGTTTTCATCCAAACCAAATGTTTTAGTATTTTCTTGGTTTTCTAGGGTTGTTGTAATGTTCTAGGGTTTATAATGTTCTGTTTATTTTTCAATCAATCCTTAAATGTAATTTACTTATTCATAAATGATAACAATATTGATAAAACACTTTTTAATTTTTTGAAACAAGATTTTTAATGATTTTTTCTTATGTTTGCTTTCTTAAGATAGAGCATTGTTATGTTTTCTTTCTTAAGATAAACATAAAGTTTGGTATAAATATAGTAATTAAAATTAAATCTTAAATCTTTGAAACAAAGTTATACCAATAATTATTAAATCTATTATTAAAATGATTAAATTATTATTAAAATAATTTTTTACCAATAATAATTTTGTTTGCTAGAAATACTATTGTAGAGTAAAAACAAAATTATATTTTGTAAATGACAAAAGCATTAATAACACTTTTATCTTGAATTTTTTTTTTTCCATTAACTCCTGCTTTTTTAAAATGTCAAAAATGAAATGAATACATCAGGTTATTATGATTTTTGTTAAAATGTAGCCATGAATCAATATTATTACAATTTGCAGATATTTTTTACTTTTTTTATATGAGCAGCATCTGTGGGCTTTTGTTTTCAATAATTATGACAGTTTCTTCCTCTACCGTGATTCTAGATTTTCAGAGTTAGAACTGCTTTTCAAGCTTTTTTGATTCATCTTTGATTTAACCATTCTAGCATTTCATTTGTACTATGAATAAGTAATACTATATGAAACGACAGGCAAAAGTCGATTTTCTGACTTCTCTAGCAAAGACCATTGTTTCTATCAAAGTTAAAACATTGAAGTAATATTTTTTGAAAACTTTTTACTTTCATTATATTGAACAAATTTTAATAAACTTTATAAGTGTCAAGTTTTAAAATTACATAATAAATATTAAAGTGTTTTTTGACTTTTGTCCTGACTGTGAATTTCACAAAATATATAAAATTGTGTTTTATTTTGATGAGAAGATAGGTTTATATGTATTTTTATGATTTCAAAGATTTCTTTATAACAATAATTGCTATGTATCTTTTTCACAACTAATGTTTTTTGTCTCTTACCTTACAGACAATAAACAGGGGCAAATGCTTTTATCGCAGCTAGTAATGTTTTCTCTGTCTTTAAAATACTTGATTTTCTGATATTATGATTTTGGTTTATCATTAAAAAGCCCTTTCAGGTATTTTTCAAATGTTCTTCTGCATGGAATTCAAAATTTAGAAAAAGACCTAGCAAAAAATGTCTTTATTAGGCACAAATTATAAAAGACTGAATAATGTGTTTTTTTTTATAGATTACAAAGTTTATATATTGGCTGTTTATGTTTTTTTAACATATGTTTTCATATATTGTCAATAATATGTTCTTTATTTTTTTATAGAGAAAGGTGAAGTTGCTTTTTAAATAAGTTTTTACTTTTGTATCAAGTTTTTACTTTGTTCTTAATACAAATTTATTTTTACTGTAAAATTATTTTAAAGAAATTGCAGTAACATGATTTTATGAAATGTTATTTTTGATTAAATTTAATTACATAAGCGTTTAATAAGAATTTAATTTTAGAAGTATTTAATGTGCTTTGCTAGTGAAGTTAGAAAATTAACTTTGCGCATACTTTCATCTTATTACATCTTAGTCCTTGAATATACATTATTTTCAATGACTTCATATGATAGCAAATTTTTAAAATATCAAACTTTTTTTAAATTATAATTTGATATAAGTACACAGTATGGGTATAATTTTTTAACAGCTTTTCAAAAAAACCAATGAATTGTCTTTAGAAGCCTAATTTAAATATAGAATATGATAATTAGTGAAATATATTAGTAAGCTATTAACAATGGCTTCTAGTCAAAATTAATAAAGAAAACAAGATTGCTGTCAGTTTGCAGTTACAAAAGAGTTATTAATTAGGAATGAGAAAAGTTATATATACAATAATATACAGTTATAATATATAAATGTTATGTATATTAGGGTGCTTCTATATTAAAAAAAAAATCTATTCTAAAAACTTTCCATTGCTTTTCTTTAGCAACTCTGTTAAATTTTTCAAAATTTAAATAGACTTAGTAGAATCTCAAGTCTTAATTTTACAATGAGATCCTAAATGTAAATTAAAATATAATTTTTCAACTTTATTTTTATTTGCAAAAAATTTTAAAAGTTTAAACTTTATTCCAAAAGAAGCAATGTAACAAAAGTTTCAAAAAATGATAACTGTTTAATACAAAAATTATTAATTAGCAATATATTGCATAAAACTTTCATTAGAAATTTAAAATGTCCTTTGTGAGGTGTTTTTTAATTAAGAAATTTTTATATAATTTTTATACACTTCTTTAAACTATATAAGTTTAGTTGCTGTCACAACCCCAATCAGATAAAATGTGCATTTATATATATAAATAGCCTACTGCCAGGGGCTTCAGTACATAAATCAGATGTATGTACTGAAGCCCCTGGCAGTAGGCTATTTATATATATAAATGCACTTTTTATAAAATAAAAATTGCTGTCAGACTATCTTTATGAGCTATCTAATTTTTGATTACCTTAAATCACTTAAATTATTAAGGAAACTAATTTAATTTAATTGATTTAAAAAAAAATATGTTTTCAGATTTCATTTTTCAATGAACTTTGAATTAAAGATATACTGCATCAATTCATTCATTATTTAATGTATCAATTTATTCATTATTCAATGCATTATTTATTAAGGGTCTGAAAAGATACAGTAAACAGTAAAAAAGTTTCACTGTTCAAAATAGTTGACAGTGAGTCATCAACTAAAAAAGTTATAATATATAATATGTTTTATAATATTTTACTGCTTTACTATATTATATTATATAATTCTTACTTTTATAATATACTATATTTATTATATTAAATAGAAAATTAATTTTTTATTTATTACATTATATTACATAATTCTTACTTTTATATTGTACTATATATGCTACAACACTTATACTATTATAGTATGTATACTATTACAAAATTTTGCATCAATTTTTATTGTAAAATGTTGCATACTCCGGGCTAAAAAAAAGGGGTCATGTTGATAACAATAAGCATTGATCGGCTGAATCAAGAAAGCTAACTTGAGGAACTTTCTATTTTCTATTTAACTTTTCATTTGAGGAAATGTGCATTTGTGTGTGTTTGTAGATAGATAGACAGACAGGGAGATAAATAGATAAATAGACAGATATAAAATATAAAAAATATAAATCAATAATAAGATAATGCCAAAAATCAAACGCAATAACAACAAATAAAAAATTATTGTTGGAGTTTATTGTTGTAATCAAAAAAAATTTTTTGACTGAATAAAAAATTGAATAATGAAATCTTTATTTTTAGATTTGAAATTAAAGCAATTTATTTTAAAATTAAAACAAATGGTATTTATTCAATTTGCTCCACTTAGTATTCCTTTTCGTAGAAGAGTAGAGACTTTTGCAGTTCTTCTTGGTGTGTTTTTAGCATTTTTGGCACATACCTTTGGCATAATTTTTTGGTTTATATTATTTTTTTCAAGATGGTGGGTTTTTGCAGTTTTGTATGTAAGTGTAGTTGTTGTTTTTGACAGAAAATGCACTTATCAAGGTGGTCGACCAATATGGTGGCTTAGAAACTTGTTTATATGGAAATACTTTTGTTCATACTTTCCAATCAAACTTGTAAAAACATCTTATTTAAGTCCATCACATAATTACATCATGGGATATCATCCACATGGAATCATTACTGCTGGTGCTTTTGGAAATTTTGCTACTAATGGGAATAATTTTAGTGAGCTTTATCCAGGAATCAAACCACGGTTATTGACTTTAAAATGTTAGTCTAACTTTTAATCTATTTTGAAAGAAATAATTTAAAAAAACTAGCAAAATAAAATTGAAGTGAAAAACCAAATTAAAACTTAAAGAAATAGAAAATAAAAATGATTTTATTTGCAAAGGTTTCCTAAATGAAATTTGTCGAATGTTCACATTTAGTAATGCTCCAGTTTCCTTTTGTGCGAGAAATATATCTTGGGCTTGGTTTATGCGATGTGTCAAAAGAAAGCATTGATTATATTTGTGGTGGATCAATGGGGAGTGGAAATGCTGTTGTGGTTATTGTAGGCGGTGCAGCTGAATCATTAGATGCTAGACCAGGATCTTGCACATTGACTCTTAAAAGTAGAAAGGGCTTTATTCGCATGGCTTTAATAACTGGGTAAGAAATTTTTATTTTTTCTACCTGGTTTTCTTCTAAAATTAATACCAAACAAAGCTACCTAATAAAAAAAAGCTATTTACTTTTAGTGCACAACTTGTGCCAGTGTATTCATTTGGAGAGAATGATTTATACGAGCAGGTTAGTAATAGTCATGGCTCTTTGTTAAGAAAAATACAAGAAGGTTTTCGAAGATGGATCACTTTTGCACCAGTTGTATTTTATGGTAGAGGGATATTTCAATATAATTTTGGCATTCTTCCTTTTAGAAGAAAAATAACAACTGTTGGTTAGTATTGTTGATTGTTTATTTTATATTATTTTACATAAAAATTTTGTAACTTTGTTAATAAAATAATTTTTAATAATTTTTGCTTAGAAAGTTTGCTTCTTTCAAAAATTCTTGGTTTAGGCAGTGTTTGAACTGGGTTGATGATTTTTTTTCCTAACACAAGAATGCGTCCCAATCATTCCCATATTAAGGTCTAGTGTTTCTTTCCCAGGAATTTTTTTTAAGTTTACCTGTTATCTGGGTAATTAGCGAGTTTTTTCCTACTTCTGACCTGGGTAATTTTTCAAAATTAACTGGATAGTTACATGTAGTTTTTAAGTTTTTAAATTTTTTAAAAGTTATTTTAGTAAATGAAACTTTTAAAATTTAAACAAACCAAAAAAATGATTTTTTTTTCAACATCTTTTTTTCAACAAGGCTGCAAGCGGTAGTGGTGTAGTGGTAGAGCGCTTGCTTCATAAACGAGTGGCTCCGAGTTCGATCCCCACCACGTCCCTGGTAGTACCGCGCTCAACTCGTTTTTCTGCACAGCGGCCTTGTTCGTCAAGGTTCGTGTTTCGGAGTTATAGAGTTGAGAGAGGGTTATAGCCACAAATAAGTAGCCTCCTCGTCTGTAGTGGCCTTCTCGGCCTCAAGGAGGTGAACTAAAATTTAAAAAAAAAAAAAAAAAGCAACCACCGTTAGAGTTGGAAGTTACTGAAAGAGAAAAGAAGTTTATAGAGCAAGATAAAGATTGACAGATGACTTAAAATATTGCAAATTATGTAAATCAGGAAAATAAGAAAAGGAAATGAATTCCAAAGAACTGATGCTTGAGGAAAAAAACTAGACGAATAAGAGTTTTTAGAAACTTAGGAACAGTCACAGTAAATGGAAAAGACTTAATTGAATGATGAGTAACACAAAAATGAATTTTAGTAGATGGCACAAGAGACATTGGCTCTTTAGAGCAGTGCCCATTATAGTATTTGTGGAAAAAAGAAAAAGAAGCAACATTACTACGATGTGATAATGGTTGGAGGTTGGCTGCAAGGGCAGGTCTAACTATATTTACAATGCGTTTTTGCACATTGTCTAAAGAGAAAGGGTATCATTGGAAGATCTGCCCCAGATATGGCAACAGTATTCCATACAAGGCCAAATTTGAGATTTATACAGATAAAGAATAGAGTCCGGAGTAAGAAAGTGGCAAGCACAATAAAGAGATGCAACATTTGCAGATGCTAATTTTGAAATGGATTTGATATATGTTTTCCAAGAAAGATCGGAAGTAAGAATTAATGCTAGAAGATGAAGAGTAGATGGTTCATCGAGTACATCACCATTCATAAATATAGAAAGATCTAAATTATTGTGATGATGATTGGCTGAAAAAAATTGGGTTTTATCTGAATTAAAGTTTACCAGCCACTGTGAGCCCCATTCTGTAGCAGAAGTGAGATCTTTTTCAAGCTCAAGTGCCCTCTCCAAGCGATCAGAAAGTGTTGGCTTCTTATCAAGACAAGAATAAATGGCAGTATCATTAGTAAACAATGCCACCTTAGATGTGAGAATATCTGGAAGATTGTTAATGTAAATTAAAAAGAGTATAAGGTCAAGGATTAGTTACAAGTTACAGGATATGAAAAAGAGTGCTGTCCATCAAGGACAACTTTCATACTATGATTGAAAAGAAAGGATTCAATAATCTTAAAGATGTTACCTGATAAACTGTTAGCAGAAAGCTTATGGAGAAGACCAGTATTCCAAACTTTATCAAAAGCTTTAGAAATGTTGAGAGCGAAAGCCTTAACCTCTCCACCTCTATCTAATGCATGATAAAACCTATTAGTTATTACTGTTAACAAATCAGCAACAATAGAACAAGAAGATTGAAATCCATATTGATGGCCAGAAAGTAAGTTGTTAGATTCAAGATGAGAAATTAAGTATTTGTTAATTAAAGGTTCAAAAACTGCGTTTATGATAGGAAAAAGTCTAATGGGACGGTAGTTAGACAAGTTTAGATTGCTCTCCAAATTTTTGAAAATAGGGATAACAGATGCCGCTTTCCAGCATGCCAGAAAACAAGAACTCTGATAAGTTCTTGTTAAATAGTTTTGAAAATAAAGATGACAGCTCCGCAGAACACTTCTGCAAGATTTTCAGCAATGTAAATAAATTACTACGGAAGTTCAAAATTTTTAGGTATATTTTTTATTAACATTATTGCTTAACCTACATCTATTTTCAGTACTTATTATGTAACATAATTTTTGTTTGCAATTTAATTGTTATTAACATAATCATTATATTTAACACTTAAAAATAAATTTTCGTAAAATGACTTTGAAGATGTTTGTTCTCAAAAAAAATCATGTTTGAAAATACATTTTGTATAGCAAAACAGAAGATAGTGTAAAGTGAAAGATTTGCTCAGCAGTTTTGAATGTATTTGGAACAAAACACCTTATCTACCACCTTTTGTAATGAGATTAAATCTAAATTTAGCCACAAGAAAGATTGGTCACTAAAAAATCAAACGTTTTTTGTATTGTTGCTTTTTTCATGAACTTTAAGTGGTAAGATGATAAGAAAATTGGTTACAGTTGGTAGTTTTAGTTTCAACTAAAGTGCAAATAATGTTAAGAAAAGCATTTAAATCAGATAGTTTGCCAAAAAGTCCACAAAGTGTCAGGGATCAATTTATGACAGAGATAGAACTAAGCTTAATTGCCATTATTGGGGAATTTAATAGATTCAAGAAGTTGTTACATGGTTTAAATTCCAATCATTTGGAATGAATTGTGTCCGTGGAAGCATCAAAACTTAAAAAGCAATTCAACTTATTGAGTCAAGATTATCTTAAGTTGGATTTAGATAACGATATTGTAGCAACAACCACTGATGGCGCAAGTGTAATTATGAAATTTGGAGAAGAGTTAAGTCCTTTTTACATTGCCTGTCTTGCACATAAAATCCATTATTGTGTTTGTAATATAATTTATAAGCCTCATAAAATGAATGATGATGTAACTGAATAGATTTTGATGAGACAGAAGAAGAATGTGGCAACATTCTAACAATGATATTGGAATCTAACCACGATGTTGGTGCATTTGTCACTAAGATTTGTAAAAAATTTCCAGATTGTTCTCATTCAAGAATGAAATTTTCAGCGCAAATTATTCATTCCTTGGAAAGGAATGAAAAAATTAAGGAGAAATGAAAAAACTTTGTTTTTAGAATGCGAATAGCCTTACTAAAATTCTGCAAAGATTTTATGAAGTTTAAAGTAGTTAGAAGTTAAAGTAGAATTGATTCATCTTGAGCAAGAGTTTGATATTTCTAATAAATAATTGGAAAAAATTAAAGAACTAAGTGATGCTTTTGCTCTCATTGAGCAATGAGAATTATGTAAAGAATAATTGAGATGATTGTGGAATATTTATGTAAAAAATAATTGAGATGATTTGTGGAATGTTTATGTAAAGAATGTTTATGTAAAGCTTATCTTTTATTTGCAGAAAAATTACTGAATTTGCTACTAATAAAGTAAGATCAAGGGACATTAATAAACCTTGCTCTCTTGGAAAATTTTCAAATTTTTCCAGGAGAGCTTGGTTTTTTTGCTTTTTCAAATAAAAGTTTGAAAGAGCAAAGAAACCACGATTTTGCACAATTAATACATTATTTAAAATCTCCGAACTTTTTGGCAAAGCAAAAGGATCTGTTTAGAATAAAAATTAAAAAAATGTAAAATTTCTGGCTACTAACTTTTAAACAGGTTGTATTAGCAGAAACTATGTGAAGAAGTACCTGTTGAAGTTTTGAAGTTAAGGTTGTATTTGTAGCAGATCATTGATTAAAAATTGAAAGAATAAAATCTCTTACAGAAAAATTTGCATTACTTATTCAAGAGATAGAGCATGAAGATAACAATGATAAGATTGGGTTTAAGAATTTGAAGAAAGAGATTGGTTTGTTTAAAGCTACCAAACAAAAGAAATTAATTTGCCTAAAGCTTAAGAGCATTCTTCATATTCGTGAAAGTTTTACTATTTTCTATAAATCTACTCTTGAGTCCTTAATACAAGGGGAGGGGGATGTTAATAAAGGTCCAGAAATAATAAAAGGGATTTTTTCATGTTACAATGTTACAAGTATTTTTTATAAAAAATTTCAATTCATGAATCCAAATATTTTTTACAAAACACGCATAAAACTATTTAATTTTAGTGTGGCTTGCAGTCACAGGTATCTAAAACCAAGACATATTAACCAAGTAATTTGTATGAAAAACTGTAGGCCAACTTTTTAAATGTGTTACTAGTTGTTCTACTAATTATTTAACCAACACAAAAAATTATTGACTACAGATTGATTACAATTGATTCCCAGATTACCAAAAGATCTAGAAGAATGCAAAAAGTGGCTACATGCTATTCTAAAATGCAACATTCCTGATAGAAAATGTTGTTTGTTCTAAATATTGATTATTAAGTTTCAAAAAAATCTATAAGCTTCTAAATTAAACAATGACAAATTTGTACTATGTGTATTTAGCAAACCTCCAAATCGCCAACAACAGTGTGTTTTAATAGTAGATAAAGTGTATGTTAAAGCTTCATTAACATACTATGGCACTATGTCGTAAATTGATACAAATTAGTGGCTAAAAATAGTTTTAAAGAAAGTAATAACTTTTATTTATTTATTTTTTTTATGTCATTTAAACTTACAATTTATTAACTTATTTAGTTTAAACACTAAATAACGAATTTTAAGAGTTTTTTTTATAAAAGAACAAATTTCAAAATTTTTATTTTTTATTTTTTTATCTTTATTGTTAAACTTAATTAAGGAAAAATCTTTAAGATTCGTTTGGCCCTAATGACTGTTTTTTAAGGGGACAACTCCGAACAACTAGCCGTGCCACTGATTATATTATTTGTTAACTATATTGTTTTGTTGAAGCAGGAAACTTGTAAAGATAACTCATTGCCCTCACAGACCTA